CACACACACACACACACACACACACACACACACACACACACACACACACAAACACACACACACGCAGACACACCCTACTCCTGGATAACTTCTCCTGGTGCTGCAAGTATCTACTTAAATACTGTATTTCTTTACAGAAGTCTGTGTTGGCCATCAGTCTAAATTGTTCCCCCCATTAGACTCACCCATCGTCACCTCTGCTGCAGCATTTATCAGGAAGTGTCGTCCATTCGTCTGTGTAATTACTTGCTCTGTCTCTGTCCTCGTAAGGAGAAGAACCACTCTCTGTGTGTTATCATGTCTGTGACCCAGAGGGGGAGATGCACCATGAGTCAGAATGGAGAAATCGTCGCAGAAGGGAAGGAAAATGGCAGTTGAGAGGGAAACAAGTTGGAAGGAAGGGAGGCAAAATTGGGAGAATAAAAAAGAAAAGGAAGAAGACAGAAGAGGAGGGAGACCCTCAAGGGGCCCTGCATTTGAGTGTTTTTCATTCATGATCTTTTCTGCTAAGACAAGACAAGCAAGGGGCAGTCACCACTGCACAAGACTGGCTTGTTTCTTTGCTGGCAATTTCTCTCTTTCTTTTGCCCTACATTTCTTCCTATGTCTTTATTCTTTTTTAATCTCCCTAAAACACAATAGATTATTAAATAAAACCAGCCTTTAACAGTCAAATCATCTTTACATTTTGAACTAAAACACATGTGCTGGGCCAGGCCAACAAGATATTTTCAGCATTGTTTGATGGAAAGCCAAAGGCCTTTCCCTTCCCACAGTCTCAAAACCGTGTCCATTTCTGTGGTGTGGCTGGGTCTTTGTGATCTCCCGCACATACAGGAGCAGGGATTCCAATCCGACCAACACCCTGCAGCGAGGTATAGAACTTTTAGAAAATTAATTTGACGAATTAATATGTTTCACCTAGGATTAAGTGGCTACAAAGAAACTGCATCCTGGGGTCAAGAACTGCTCATTTTCCTTTAAGCAAATTAAGAAAGAACTAGTGAGGAAAAAATGTGACTTCGAAATAGCCAAGCCACCAGGAAACCATTAACAATAAGAATCACTCAAATATAGAAAAATATGGGAAAGCAATAGAATTTCTAGCACTTTGAGTTAAGAATAAACAAAATAAAATTAATCCTGGAACATGTTAAGCTACTTAGAATATGGGAGTATACTCAATAAATTATCTTAAAATTCACTTTTACAGAGTGTCACACTAGTAATTATAACGAAAGTGATAACTAACAAAATTATACTTACACCATTAAGCTACTATAGTCAAGTTCCCCCAGATCAGAAAGCACAAAGTATTTACTGTAAATATGGAAAACCCAGTAAATGCCTTATTTCTTCTTTGTTTCTCCTCAAGAGTATTTTGTTCAGAGGACCCATGAATGAATTGTAGGATCCAAGATGAGGCAATGAGACTGACAAAAGAAATGAAGAGAAAGAAATAAAGAAAGGGAAGGAGGGATGAAGGGAGGAAGAAATTGTGCATCTAAATTAATATTACCATTCAGTAGTGTTGCCCAGATCACACATCTTTCAGTACTGCCAGGAGCCGGATAGTGCTGAGAAGTATCCACCTGGGCTGTCCTTTCCACTGTGGTCCTGCCCAGCAGCAGGTACACAGGACAGGTGATTCCTTGTCACATCCCATGAGGCGGGGCTTTGTGGACGGTAGAGGTTACCAAGGCTGTATTTCATGAATAAAGAAACTGTCGTTCAGATGAGTTTTTAAAGACACTGGACAAAGTCACCAAGCTTTCACCTACTTAAGCAATGAGAAAGCAAGCAAAGGGATTTACATCCTTTCTACATTGAACTAATCAAGTTTATCAGTTTTCCTATTGGGATCTCTTCATTGATTCTTTCTACAAATGTGTTCTGAGTACTCACTAAATACAGGGTCATGGGAGAAAACAGCAGTGAACAACAGACAAATGTTACCACTCTCATGGGGCATGTGTTCTAGGAACTCGGTATAATTTAAATTCTTGTCGCCATTTTTCATTCAAGGTCGCTGCTTTAGCAATTCCTGCGTACCACTTAGTTAAAAGGAACAGTGTAGCCTACACTCTCTACTGACATAATTTGATGAGTGTAGGAATTGTACTAGTCGATCCTATTGATTACCAAGAAAAATGAGAGCCCTAGATGCTCAAGTTTTAAAGAGAGAGAGAGAAATTAAACTTCAAGAACAACATTTCAACATAACCTCAAATTCAGTGGCCACATCTGAAATGAGGAAGACTCTCCGACATCAGACAAAAGAGAACTAAAACCATTTTTCAAGGTTTTACATACAGAATGAGAAAACGTTAAACTCTTGGCAAGCATCCTAGCATCTTGGAGAGTGAAACCACTCACTGCCTGCAAGTGTTTAGCCCACAGCTGTTGGGAATGAAGAATGTCAAAATACACAAATGAAAGAGTCAGCATGCACACATCAAAGATGTGAAGCTCCGAAGGGAACCCAAGGGTGGAAGTCAAACTACAGTGGGTCGCTGGAGCTGGGGAGCTGCAGAAGGAGATCGTGTCCTTTGTAGAAGACCAAGCAGCCTAGACATCATAGCGCTGGCTCTGGCCTCTGTCCTCCACCTCCTGTACCAGTACGGAAAATTATCGCTGACATCTGGAGGTGCATCGTAAAAGGAGCCAAAGCCAGCTGCAGTTGCCTCATTCTTCATACAGGGCGGTACCTGGTGCTTTGTTATACCGTATGTAAAGCCTGGAAAAACAATTTAGTCATCTTTTGTCTTACTTCAAATAGTCTTGGCCTATATTTCAGGAGATGTGGCCATTGTGTCTGCATGTTTTGTTGAAATACTTTTTTTTTGGTGAGGTTTTATTTCTCTCACAAATGAAATCATGAAGATGAAATCATGAGTTCTCTTTTGGCCTTCTTCTTCTTCTTCTTCTTCTTCTTCTTCTTCTTCTTCTTCTTCTTCTTCTGCTTCCTCCTCCTCCTCCCCCTCCTCCTCCTCCTCCTCCTCCTCCTCCTTCTTCTTCTTTCTACCAAATTTCATATTCATCACACCAGTAGAAATAGTTCTTTTTTAAAAAAGCCCCAAATTTCTACTGTATAAATAAAAGGCATTGTGCATTTTGAGAAACCAATGTTCTGAAAATATTTGAATCCTCATGTTTCTCTGGAGGTTCATAAATCCTACATTTCTCTGGTTTAAGTAGAAACACCATGCTCCAGCCACAAGGGCATGGATGGCTTATTGGATTGGGGCAAAACTGTGTGGTCTGTAACTGATGGTTGTTAAGATGGTGTCATAGCTCAAAGTGCTGATGATATCTTCTTTTTTCTTTTTTTTTTCAGCTTTAATTGAGTTTATTGGTACATTTTAGGGATACAGTACAGTTACATTCATTGTTGGGATCTTGTACCTCTACATGACAAGTCTTGGTTCTCATTTTTTCCCCCTTGTCCCTGCCCTCCCTTGACCCCCTCCTCCCCTCCCCATCTACAAACACTTTATTTCCATCTTTTCATTACCTCACATTTGTTTCTTTTCCCTTATTACCCTTCCCCTATCCATCTCACATTCCCTACACCTTTAGCTCCTTTCTTCCCATTTCTAAATGTCAGTAAGATATATCTTCTTTTTTCTAATTTTTACTCTGTATGGAATTTGGCCATGTTTACGTTACAATTTCAAAAAACGTTCACTAAAAATAACACAGACTGAACTTCTGCTTTGACAACAGTTGAGAGGCATGCACCTGGATTTGGTCCTTTCACCAAAAATGACAAAGGGAGGTGACAGTGCCCAGGAAAACCTTCAAGAGATGATCTACAGGCCAGTATAACCATAGCACACAGGTTAAAATTGCCTCGGACATTACCAATGTATTTGAATAATGCACAAAACCTTTGCAAGCATCAGGAAATTGGTCCCTAAAATGTCATAGGCTTCTTCGGTTAAAAAAGAAACAAAGAGGCAAGGACAGCTCAGCCACACTGGAAAGAGCTCTGATGAGCGCCGAGGTAGAGAGCTGCTGGCTGTAACCGAATTCAAACTAATCAGTGTACCTCCTGGCTCCCTGTGTTTCTGACCCTCAAAGGTAGCTGGCAGGTCTGGCTCTCTAGGATAAATTTCCAGAGGACACAAATATCTTTTGAGCCAGTTGTGCCTTTTTAAAGTCTTTACCTGAGAAGAGTGAACCAGAGTAAGACCCTAAGCTGAATACACACAGCTACTCATTGCAACATGCACTCTAATATGAAAAAGGTGAACGCCCCCAGTAGTCCATTACAAAGGATTAATTAGATAAGTAAAAAATATTTGTGTGAGGGTCTCTGTTGCTGCCTTCCAATGACATTGGGAAGGTTCTTCACAGATACTGTTGGACAAAACAAGCTGTTTAGTGATAAGAGCTGAATGACACCACTTGTATTTGACAAGATGTACAAATCACAGGGAGATAGCTAGAAGGGGGAATCTCCAGGGCATAGACAGTGGGGAGCCAGCCTTCACTTCTTTGCTTGTTCTGTCCCGCGTGGCTCAGACGTCTACAAGAGGAGGTGCACTGCACCAACTGGCCCTAGAAGGCACAGCCCATGGTGCCTTCAAGGAGTCCTGGGAAACCCCAGGATAACAAGCAACCAAGATAGGCTGAAGGGTGAGAGAAAAGCTTAAATGATGTGGAAGCAAAGAGGGAGCCAAAGCAGTTTTATGGCAAGTGAAAGGGCTGTGACGAAGCAGAATTTCCAGGCGATTAGGCAGAGTGCTCTGTGAGGCTGCTGGGGATCCAGCTTCCCGGTTCTCATCCACAGGATTCCTGGCATCACAGACGCGTGAAGGGGCCATTGCAACAGTCTGGCTAAGCGGGTTTTTGTTTTTTTTGGTTTTGGTTTTGTTGGTTAGCTTGCTGCCTGTTTGGGGAAAGTAAACACCAAGCACACTTGCTCAAGAAACTCTGGCGCTTGGAGGCGGGGGAGCCACTGTCCACAGAACATTCTAAACTATGGGGATCCACAGGTGGGCAGGCTGCAAACGGTCTTGATTAGTGGCTACATTCAGCACTCTGTGACACTGTAAATGTTGTTTTCCTTTAAACAAATAAAAAGGGCATCAAAAGGATTCGTCTCTCACTATCACAGGAATCTAGCAGTAGTAGACTACCCCTGTAAGGATGATATTTAGCTTTGAAGTCCTCATTAAACCAAAGATGTGAGTAACCCTCTTCTAGGAAGTATAATAGTATTAATGCCACAAAAAATGTCCAGGGGTGGAGGAAGAAATGAGACCCATTTGGGGCCTAATCACTAGCTTTCCTGATTAAATATTCTTTATAGAGCAGGTGAAAAGAATAGCAGAAATCAAAATGTTTCACGTGATAATGAAGCATCGCTCAGAACCTCAATGACATATTTTCTATTTCTAAATTTTTTAAAGGTATCATACACAGATAGCCAAAATACTAAACAGACAATGTGTTCAAAAAAAAGTTTCAATTTAAGTGACAGTGAAAGTGACATCCTAATTCTCCAAAGTCTTTTATCCCCTTGGATAAATTTAGTAGTGGTCTTTCAAAAACTTCTCATTAGATTTGTGAGCCCTACTAAAAATTAAATATTAAGCTGCCAGAAGAAGTCAAAAGCAAAAACCATAACACAAAATGAAGCAGCAACAAAAATCCTGAAACATTTGAGGCTATGTAAGCATTTTAGGACCTCTCAAAATGAAAAGCAAGTGTCCTCAGTCGAACCTAGTTAGAGAATGTTTGATGTTACAACGCAGATTTTTTTTCTATCATGCACTTTGAGTTAACACAGAGATACAACTAAAACAATAAGCATGGCTTCTCCTGGTTGGAATTCTTAAATCAGAAGAAATATAGCATGCTGGCTATTTACTTGCTTAGAGTTAATAGCAATGGCTATATAGGCTATTGTTCAGACAGCAAGTTATTCTGTGGCCATTTGCTGCTTAAAATTTTCCCATTTAACAGAAGCCATACATTGGTAATGTTTAAAATGAGAGTATTCTGTAACCCCCCCGAAACAAAAAAAAAAGTCATTGATTGTATAACCTTCAAAGTGTTTAATTTGTACTAAAGCTAAATCCAGAGGCTCTGAAACCTCAGGGGCTCTCGATGTGGATTTTTGTGCTGGTTCACACACCTTGAGACAAAGGCTTATAGTCAAGATGTGGAGGAAAAAGACTTTTTTTGTGTGTGTATGTGTGCGAGATGCGGGGCAAATTTATTCCCGAGGCAGCCTGGAATGGGCTTCAGAAAATGGCTAGAGTGTCTTCCCGAAGAAAGGGCCTCTAAGTAAACTCAACTGCCATTCAAAAGATTTGCTCTGACACTTAACAAGTGGTGCAGGGAGAAAGGAAAATCTGTTGTCAGGTTTGGGGTGTTTATCAGCTCCCCTCGAGACACTTGACCTAATGCCGCGCCTCCCCCCTAATCCGCTGATCTGCATGCGGTGGCCTGCAAGTCGCAGCCCGCAACTGCCGGCGAAATTGCCTGGAACACTTATCCCGGAGCACTGATCCTTGGGTATATTGTGTGCAGCTCACCTACTCCCCCTCCTCCCCTCCCACCCCCCTTGCACGACTCCCCCGAAATTTAATTCTGCTCACAAATTGTGAAATAAGTTGTTTGGGCTGGATTTGTCGAGTGAATTGTCCCACTAATGAAACAGTCTGTTCATTATACAGTGGTAGGACGGAAGATTTAGCGCTCCCATACCCCGGGATTCAGGCAGGTTAACGTTTTTAGACTGACAGTTGACAAAAGAATGAATAGCCCTCTCCTGTCAAATCAGGCTTACAAACAGCTTGGCATACAAACAGTTACTACTTGTGTGCAGGCGGATTTAGGGTCCCCGTCTGCTAATGCCCCAGATTTGTAAGTACAAATTGGTTAGTCTTCAAACTGTTTGCAAAAGGAATAAAATGACCAAAAATTAGTTTGTTTTAGCCTTTTCCCCTCCCCTCTCTGCTCCCACAAGTGAAACATGAAAAAAAAGAAAGAGAAGAAAAGGATAAAATAGTGTATAATGGTCTCATGGAATATTGTTGGGTTTTTGCTTTCAAGGCGTCAGATTAAGCAGGACCATTGTTTGGCAGGAAACATTTTGTTCTGCGCCGACACCCTGCTTCTTGGAAAGCGGCTGAAAAAATCTAATGGAATTAATTGAAGATGTGTGATTTTAGAACACCAAGAGCAGAGAGGGAGGGAGATCAAAAACTTTCATTTCTATTCCTTTTAGTACCTGTTGCTTAAAACCGGTTACAATCCCTCCTTTCCTTTTAACTGCTTTGGCCGTTTAAAAAGGGCTCTTTAGATTTCTAAAACTTTTGCATAGGCAATTATGTGTAAATTAGATAGAACTCATTTTATGTTTTTAGGTCTGTTTGTTTCATGAATAGATCGAACTAAAACAAAATTGTTGCTGGAGAATGCTTTTTGAGAAATGAGGTGAACATTCTCAGTGTGGTGATAAATTCTGACCTGGATTGGGTTTGATAGATCTTGAGTAATATATATTTTATGACTTTATAGAGAAACAAATATAACAGACTAAGACTTTTTTCTACTTCAAGCTTGGTCTAAAGTTTTTGAATTAAGAACGCCTTCCTTTCTTATCAGATACAGCAGCAGTATGGCCAAACTCCCTGTGTTACTGGTAGTTACTCTTTTATAGCTTGCTTTATCACATCTTGCCACATACTGCAAAGACCATTTTTAAAAAATTAGGTTTTGGGGCTGGGGGTTTAGCTCAGTGGCACTGCACCTGCCTTGCAAGCACAAGGTCCTGTGTTCAATCCCTGGTATCAATAAATAAATAAATAAATAAATAAATAAATAAATAAATAAATTTATTTATTTTAAAAATCAGGTTTTGGGAGAACTTTGCAAGCTACAAATTAATTCAAGCAAGCCTTCATTCTCCCTTACCCACATCGACATCTTGCACTGTATTCTGCAGTATTTCAATAAGCACCATCGAACAATAGGTACAATCTTAATTCCTAAGTGTACCAAGTCAATGACAGTTAGCGTTTGGAAATCTGAATAAAGCAAGAGTGTTAAACTGCTGCAGAGAAAAAGTGGCGCAGCCTTTGCCCCATATGTAGTGAATTGGTTTTGACAAAGCCGTCCAGGCCTATGGAATGAACTGCACCTGTGAACCCTTGTGCCCCCGTCAGTCATTTAAATCTGGGGACAAGAGTGCGAGGGAGTCACAAACCACTCGGCAGCAAATAAACAACTGTGACCTCACAGAGAACAGACCTGCTCTCTCTCCTTCCCATCTTTCTCCTCTACTCCCAGAACCTTGCAGACATTTTCTTGTAATATCCATTTCTTTTACATTGAAGGTTTGTTTTCCCCCCTGTCTCATCCCAATCTTTTTTAAAGACAGAGATCGTGACTCATGACAACTGTAGGCTATGAAATGCATCTGTTTCATGAAATATTGTTAGGGAAATATATTTAGAGCAAGGGTTGTATAATGCAAGGGGGCTCCCTTACCATGGAAAGCCATGAGAGACGCACAGCTTTCAGCAATCAGTCACCTGTCTGGGCCAGGCTTCTCCTTACAATCCCCTCAGACGACAGAGCACAGCAGTGAGTGAAGTCTGAATCTGGAGCAATTCAGACTGAGAGAAATGCATATTACTGAGTGCTGCTTATTGTCTATTCCGGCGAGAAACGAGCTACTAATGGAAAGCATTATTTCACAGCAAGCTGTTGGTTAAAACACAAAGCCTTCCTGCGCCAAAGAGGAGCTGAGGCTGAAGAATAAACCACATCTGTAACAGGAAGGACAGGCGTGGCCTGCAGGTTGCTGTGGACTGAAGAGCCATTGTCTTACATACATGGTCTGTGGCGCTAAAGCCTCAGCCTCCCAGCGACCTTGGGCAGGTCTCAGCCTCTCTAAAAGCTCCCCACATCTGTAAAATGGGGAGGACAGAATCTCTTACTGTTATGATGAATAATGAATTTATATATAGCATAGTCCTGGTCCAGCGATCAAATATCAATAGACATGTTTCTTATACTCAATACATACAGATATTTTCTTATCATTATGCCTTACACAATACAACAGGACAACCATTTGTACTGTATTAGGTATTACAAGTAATCTAGTGAAGATTGCAACTTGCAGGAGGATGTGCATAGATGATATGCAGACCCCACCTCATTTCATGAAAGAGACCTGGGCATCTGTGGGTTTTGGGACCCACAAGGCATCCCGGAACCAATCCCTGCAGGTAGCAAGGGACAACTGTATGTAGTCATAGGTCATTTCTCAGAAGTCTCAGCTGGCCCAAACAGAAAACTAGTGGAGCTTTATGAGGCATCTAAAAGGTCCAGAGAAAAGCAAAGGCTAATGGTTGTAGCTTAAAAAATAACCTCACTGCGGTCTAAGCACTGCAGGAAGGACTTGGCGTATCCCGTGTTAGGTTTCCTCCCTCTTCTTACAGCATAAACAGACTGGTTCAATTCACATGGAATTACAGGTTAAGCCTCCTGATCTCCAGCCTCATACCCTCTTTCTCTTCAACACATTTTAGAGGAAATAATTTAACACTGTAACATTAATGGTGTTAAACCAGGGTTATCATTTTAATACTACATCATTCTCATCTCGTTGTATAGAATGAGATATTTGGAGGAGTCAACACCGAATGAGTTTCCTGAGTTGACATCCCGAGACACTTTTTGCCTTTTTGGTACGTTTATGGATCTATGACAGCTTTACTCAGAAATGAATTACACTGTCTACTCTTTTCCAGGTAGATGTTGATGTGATGGTTCTTGTTGTTTTGTTACTTGTGAAATCAGATAAGCAAAAGCAAAACAACGTGGTTGCTTTTCTAAATCACTTTGAAATATTACATCAAAACATGTCTCTCAAAAAATACACCTTTCACAAAAAAATGTGTCAGTTTGAGAGAAGGATGCCTAAACTATAGCCTAAGAGTGGAATGAGCTGGGAGCAGAAAGGCCAATTCAAACAGGTTGTAGGAGAAATGCGCCTTCCCAGGAAGCAAGATGCCCTTGTCTTCATTCACCTTGGAAACAGGACATCCAAAGGTGCCCCAGAAACCTCTAGAAGGTACTTGTTTTCCCCTGTGCCATTCCCTTTTTTGGGAAGACAGCCAGGACAGTTTTATTCCAAGAACTATTCAACACGAAGGGCCAAAAGGGCTAAGACACCACTATGCTGGGCTTCGGTTAGCCTGAGGCAACTCGTTGCTGAGGCTACATTTTGCTTTTTCTACCGACTCCTTCAAACTCCTTTCAAACCCAGTTTGCCACAAGTTATCTTTTAGACAAATGACACCAAGAGAGAAGACTAAAGCCCCTGAGAGGGACTGCACACTTCCGTCTGGTATAAACCCACGGTGGATCTAACACGAGCCATCCCTCTTTAAGATGGGCCAAGGCATTAGCCCATGCAAAAAGGAGCATAGCGGAAGAGCTGAAAACAACAACAAAACAAATAGCTAAATAGTCAGAGGACATCACTTTGAATTTTATTTTGGCTACTATTTTTTTTTTTAGGGCAAGATCTCATTATGTAGTCCAAGCCAGCCTTAAACCGGCTGTGTAACCCAGGCTGGTCTCAAGGTTGTGATCCTCCTGCCTCGGTCATTATAGTGCTGGGATTACAGGTGTGTGCTCCTCTGCCCAGCCATCTACTACTGAGAAGCTGTCTGACCTTGGTTGTTATTTATTTAGTTTTGGCGAATGTTAGCTATCTTCATCTATAAGATGGAGGTGAAGAGTCACAATACCTCCTCCGTGAGGTTGGAAGTTAACATGAAACAGATGAACACATATATGACACATGTACAGTGCTAATAACACAGAGTCCTAAGGTTCATAAATGTTAGCTGCTGTTATTGGGGGCTCTCGGGGTCCTCTAGCACCTGGCTGTCCCACACGCGACGCTGGGACCAGCGACCTCAGCATTACCTTGTTAGTCTCAGGCCCCGCCCACCCCTGCTGAACCAGAATCTGCATTTTAATGAGGCCTCCGATGATTCGTGCACCCATTAAATTTTAAGGATGCTGGCTTCCAACACACTTCGCTCTACACTCTGGCTTTGTCCCTTGAGGCTCTGGCTGGATGGCGACTGAATGAACGCTGGCATCCTCAACCAGGATCCCCCATGAGCCAGCACACCACCCAGCAGTGTGGGTTTCCAGGCTAGTTATTTAATGAGTTTTATGATACATTAAATCTTCCAGCCCTCACGGCAATTTGACCAGTAAAGAAATAACTTCTTTAAGGTAGCCCAAAACAAGCCAACTCAAGCGAATAATGGGATTAGCGTGGCGATATTGAAATCGGAGTTCTACCACGTGAGCCCCCCCTCCGTCAATCAAAGCTGCTGTCCTCGCGGCTGATTATGGCGCATTGTTTCACCAAATAAACACCAAAGGGATGTTGTAAAGGCAGCATATGGTCCTCTTTCAGGAGTAGTTAGCTTGGCATTGCCCAAGCGGCCTCATCAGGGCTCCCTTGAAACCTTTGAAATCAGTGCATTGAGGGTATTTGCTTTTGCAAAACAAAGTCTCATGAAAGTGGTTGCTTTTCATTGCAGACTTGTCAGAAGCAAGGACAGGATGTGAGACGTGAGGGAGAACGGATGGAACCATGACGAGACGGAGGAAGCTCACTGTCCTCTTTGCCTGATCTCCATCGTGGGGCAGCAGTCATGGCGGGGGGATGGTTACGTTTTCCCTCCGCCCACCTGGAAAAATGCTGCACACTGAGAAGATGACTTTTCCTCCTTCCAATCAGGCAAGAGCAGACTGAGGGCAGACTGAGGGATCAGACAGGAAAAGTTCCACCTGAATAAAAGATCTTGCTGCGAAGTGTTTTCTGTAACAGTCAGGAAAGAAGCGAAGGCTTTGTGAAGGAACCAGGCTAAGGGCAACTCGGTCACCTTCACCTGGTTCCACCTGAAGCTTCCTACTCGAGGGTGCCTCGTGTCTGAACCCTTGGAAGGCAAGACTGGCCCAAGGCTGAATTTCAGGAGAAGTCACTAGGCAGTATGAGGAGCGGCGTTTGGTTGCTATTTTGCGTTGATGTGGCTGGCCTTTCCTCCAAGGAACGTGATGCTCGCCAACAGGTAATTAGCAAAGAGCAGTCCTCACAGCCAGCGTGAGCTCTGTGCGCGGTGGTGTCCCAGGCTGCAGGTCCCCTTGGCCTCTTCCTGTTGTCCAATGGCAGCTCTCAATCTCTCTTCAAAGTGGCCCCCAAATAACGGGGCTTGACCACCCTTGGGGGTCTTCCCTTCTGGCTTGGAAGTGGGCCTCTGTGACAAGTGACCACATGGTTATCACCACCCTGGGGGGGAGTCCAGCCCTATGCCCCCCTTCTATCTCTGCTCAGGAGCAAATGCACCCAAGGAAGCGGGGCACCTATAAGTGGCAACCTGAATAAATGGTCTTTTAGCATTTTGTTTTTTAAATGGATGGAAGGGGATAAAAATAAAAAGGGAAAGTCTTGGGCATTGACTTTCCCCTCCCCCAGTCAACTCTGCCCGTTCTGCCTGAGTGAAAATGGCCACTCCTGCTGGCAAGTCATAGGTCCTGCACGAAAGGGGCCTTAAATGGTGTCCGGTCAGCTTCCAGGGAGTTCTCGAATCTCCTTGACAATCCAGAGACTGAACAAAAAAACTCCCCTGAACTTTCCTCCTGGCCAGAACACATCACAAACAACCCAGGCTTTCCCCCTGAGAGCTGGGAGAGATGGGTTTTAATCCCACCCTTACTCTGCTAGGATTATGCAGTATCATACAGAGGTTATATTATCCTTCAGAAAACATCCATGGTTGAACTCATCATCTTCCTGCTAGGGAGCAAAAAGCAAGACATTGCTAGGTAACAGGGGCAATAAAATCCACAGCAGTAGCGGTTTAAGTGACCTCACCATTCCAAGCAATTTTCTTGAATCAAATGAAACTTTTAAGGCTTCAGGTAACCAAAATTGAGTAAACAATTGCTAAGACCATTATTTTCTGGAGAAACTGTTAATAAAGTAAAAAGGTGACTTTGTAAGCAATTCAGTGGAATGCCTCTACTGCTCTAGAAATATCGGCATGGAAAGACTTCATTCTAAAAGAGAAAGAAACTCAGGTCTTGCTTGAAAACGAAGGGTATGTGAAAGGAAAATGCGTGTGTGCTACAGTGCGAGTGAACTTGTCCAGCCTAAGCCTGGAGCACAGTACAAATCCACATGGCCCTGGTCACTCCTGGGGAAGGATTTATAGGGACTGGCGCGCATGAGCTGTCTTCACCACTCAGCTGAGATAATGGCCCTGCTAAACCATATCAATGACCTTCATAAACTCATAACCCTGGCATTTGGGCCACTTTGGGATCCATGGCAGCTGAAGCATAGCAAACAACCAACCTGCTGGGGGAAGGCGCTATTCAAATTTCACCTGGGGTGAGCTATTTTTTTGGTATCAATTAAAGGCCCATACACTGATGCAATTTGGGCCTCTTTAGAGCAGGGCTTCATCAGCCGCTCTCCGCACTCATTAGCAGGAGCTTTAAGATGTTGCTAATAGCTACACATCTTGTAAACATGTTGCATGGGCCCTG